GTGTGTGTGTGTGTGTGTGTGTGTGTGTGTGTGTGTGTGTGTGTGAATCATACATGTATACAAAGGCATGATTCAAAGAAGGAAATCTCAACAAATTTTTTTTTAAATTCACTATGCCTGCAGGTGGTTATACAGTGAGAAAAATTCTTTACCCTGAGTATCAAAACTCCTGTATCGGAATCTAGTTCATGAGTGTCTTCCCTATACACAATCAAGGCCTCTGCCCTAAAGTCTCCCCCTGGTCTAGCCTTCCTATATACCAGCCTTGCTATATTCCAGTCAGAGGGAACAAGGAGGCCATTGGCCATTGTTCCAGTTTCTAGTGGCCTTATTGAACTCAGATTACTGAGCTCACTGGGAGTTGTTTCTAAAGCCAGACAGTTCTCACAATTGCTCTCACACTTTCCACTGTTTTTCATGGTTGCTTTAGGCTGACACTTTGCCTCATACCAGACTCTCAAAAATTCTTGTACTAGAAGCAGTGGCTTTGACAATACTGTTTTCAGGGTGCTATTGAGGGGGAGGTGAAGAAAAAGGGTGTCCCAGGCAAAGGTAGGAAAGCTTGTCCTCAATAAAGCCAAGGGGACTATGGGTAGATTTGACAGATAAATTCTGATACCTGGGGTACTGTTCTCTGATACCAGAACCCTTGTGTAACCTTTGAGCCATTAATGAAATTATATTTCTTACTTACACGTCTTTTTTTCTAAATGACCACAGAAGAAATTTGCAAAATTTAAAGAACTACATTTTGCCAAATCTAAATTTTTGTTATCTTTGGAATGAGCTGTTCTGATTGATACATATAAAAATAGGTTTCTACTTACAAATCATCTGAAAGTCAAGTTTCTGTGGTTCCTTTCATCTGTACATGACTAGACTAGAAAGACCTGTTTCTAATGGTGACGTCCAGGTGCAAGGACTCCGGCAAAGGCCAGCTTACCAGCAGTAGTCCAGCAGGTGTGGAGGAAGCACAGGGATGTATATGTGCTGCCAGTACATCGGGTAGAGCAGAGCAGCGGATCCATGGAGACAGGCGGTTAACTAAAATGCACAGAAGGGTAACAATAATGAGGAGCTGCTGACCCTCTAAAGAAAAAGGCATGTTCAAGGTATCAAAGATGAGTGATCATCATAGAACAATTTACACAGTGACATAGCTCACACTGTTTTTACCAATTCTACATGTAAAATCCTGTGTCTCAGAGGTCCCTCTGAAAAACACACAAACAGCAAAAGGAGTTTCTTGGGAATCATATGCAGATTTTTATATTCAACTTGAAAATATAGCTAAGGTTAAATTTGGACCATAAATAAAAGTTGAACTGAAAAAAATTAGTGAGTCTTTTAGAAAATACTGTAGGAAATGACAATATGCACAACACGGTTTGCGCATCACTCAGATTAATACAGCACGATTAAATATGGAAAGAAGAGAGGCTGAAAGCTCCTGAGGGATATCATTAGGGCAAATTGCCAAAGAATGAAACATGAGCCAGTCAGGAGAGTCTGGAAGCTGCAATAATACCAAGGGACTTGAATGTTCGACAGTTGGAGCTTCAGTAATGTGGGAACTGTGGGCTGTGGTACCAAGAGACTCTGTTCACTGACACAGAGAATGTCACTATTGACCAGCGAGCTGCCCAAGCTTGACAGCTGTACTACAGGAAGCCAAGTATATCATAATTTCATATCTAAACTGCTCATTCCAGATTAACATTTTGTTTCCGAGCTTTAGATCACAGCGGCTGCAATTACACTGTTGCTACTTTAGAGGTAATTGCCATTTTAATTGTTGTGTTTGGGCAAGCAGTTAATTAAAATTTTTTAATGCTTAACAAAGGGACACCACTTTTTTCTACCTCCTAACTAATCCTCATTCATATTTCTTTCTGTGTGGCTTCTATTTTAAAAATTCCTATAGTTATAAAGGTTATTTTTACTGGAAAAAGTAATAATTAAACCAGTGTTCTTTTTCACTGTTTTAAAGTTTTACTATAGTCTCCATTTCAAGGTTCTCAACTAAGTCATTTTATTTAACTTGAAAGAATTTTTAAAAAACTGTATGAAAATGAACTATAGACTTTCCATAAGGAAATAGCTCCATCTTTTAAAAAAGAAATTAAAATATAAACACAATAACTACATCTAAAACTATACATGTACACAAAGTATTCAGTCTCAGGAAGAGCACCATTGTTCTTCCTGCACTGTAAAATAGCTGCATTCAATTTAAAAAAATCAATCAAGAGTTAAGATAATATGATCTAAAATAAAAACACTAAAATTTTCAGTCACCTTTTTCACATATTTCATGTATAGTCCAATCCGATTTTTATCAAGGTTAGGTGACAGACAATGCAGTCGGACTCAAACTGACTATCTGATACGGACACTGGAGCAGTCCAGTGCCGTGCATACAAGCTTTGTTAGTTTATCACAGCATTCTTTCAATAAATGTATTTTTAATTCCTTAATTACAGAAAACATCATGCCGCTAGGAGGCTTCAAATCGGTGCATTTAACAAGTACAGACCATGGATCAGAGGGGGTCACAAAGCGGGCTGCAGAGCCTGAAGATGACGCTGAGCCACACACTCCATCCAGCTCTCCAAAGGTTTTCAGACACTGTTGGGAATTATGCACTTCAAGGTTTTCTAGGCTAAGAAAATTTATGTCCCTCTGAAAGGCATAGTCATGCACTTTCTCCATGTGAGAACAAGTGACTTTTTTTTAACATCTCATTTAAAACTTTAGAAAGGGAAGCATTTCTTTTGTATTGAGAAAAGAAATGTGAAGCAAAAGGAAAAGTTCCTCTCAAAATGAGCAGCTGCTAGGAGGGCAAGATCTCACTGAGTTCATGCAGTGCAAAGCAGCCCCCAGATGCCCTATAGCTACCCCTACTCACAAGCTGGTCATCCCTAAACACGTTATTCAACATTCACCAACAAGCAATGGCATTCTGCGGCAGGAGATGGACTGGCTTCTGAGAAGATGAGTCACAAATCCCTGCACTGTCCAGTGTTTGGCGAGTGACACCCTTGCTAATCAAGCCTACCAGAGGAGAATTAAGTCATATAACCCTTGGAAAGTTTCCAGATAATCGGACAGGAAAAGGAAAAGGAAACAATATAGGACAGTATCTTTTTAACTATTGCCTGCCTTAAGAAACCACATGGTATCACCTGAATGAATATAGCTATTGTGGGGCTTATTCATTCATTATACATCAAGTTCAGACTAGGTTGGTTCTCTAAGGAATTAGACTTTCCTAGTGATCACAATTTTGATTGGAAATTGATCTTATATTTATGAAGAAAGAAAACTAAATATGATCCAAAATTCACTATTCACCCAACAGTACCCAATAGCAATGAAATTTACAAGACCAAGCAATTATTATAGCATGAAGTTGAAGAAAAGACAGCAAAGTTACAAGTAAAGAAAATCAATTATTAACAAATAGCTGTAACTAAGAAACTAAACACACACAAGCAGGTTGTATGAAATCTAACACCAGTTTACCAGTCACAGTCAGAGCTCTGAGACTAACAAGCTGCATGGTCTGTGACACCTGCTCACATCACCTGGTCTCAGGTTCCTGATCTTTAAGAAGTTTACAGTAGAGTGTATGTACGTACTGTCTGTACAGGTCAAACATCCTTTATTCTTAAATGACATTAGTATTTCATATTCTTAGTAAAAGATAGTTTACTAACCAGTTAGTTCCAACCCAGATAGTTCATAGTCTATATATATAGTCTACCAACAAAAGATACCCAAAGATTAAGTCTAAATGTCTTAAAGCCTGTTAACAACTGTGAAATCAGAAAAATCATAACATTTGCTTACATCAACAACAAAAAAATTAGTACCTTTTTCATGCTATCCCATGTCCCACCAGACAACAAGGACACAATACTGAACACATGGACATCCTGTCCTCATGAACCTTACATATCTTGGGAAAGCAAGTTGGGCATCCTTTTCTAAAATATCCAAACCTCAAAGCCTTCCAAACTCTTTTATTTTTTTAAATACCAACATGACACTAAGTGGAAAACTTCACATTGAACCTCACAAAGCAGGTTTTAGTCAAAATGCATATGCATTAAAAATACTCTTTAAAATTACCTTCAGGCTACATGCCCAAGAATGAATTCTGTTTGGATTCAGATCTCATAGTGAAAATATTTCACAATGTATCTGCAAATATTTCAAGATCAAAATCATCCAAAACACTTCTAGTCCCAAGTATTTCAGACAAAGGATCATCACCTATCAGTTAGAAATGCTATGAAGAAATCTACAGCAGAGTAAGCACAGAACAACAGAGGCTTTTTTTAGACAAAGGATCATAGGAGAACTCTTGATATGATTGAACTAGATCCAAATGAAGCAAGAGAACAGACTACTGCAGAACTGGGGAGAACATTCTCAGCAAATGAGACGCAGTAGTCAAAAACCTTGCCATGGAAACGCACATAGTCTCTCCACAGAGCAATGGGGGGGGGGGTGCTGTTCAGATTAGACAGAACAAGTGAAGACAGCAGGAAATGAGACAAGAGCAGGCAGGAAGTGGGATCAGCAGAAGGTACAGCAAAGACTCTACATTTCAGTCTATATGAGGTCTTTCCACAACATTAAAAAGAGTGGGAATCAAATAAATACAGTACCAAAAATGTTAAAAATGAGACAAGAAAAGAGTGCTAAATGTCACAACAAGCTATCTAGCAGGAACATTGTGTGAATTAAGCAAATGAAAAGGAAAAAGTATATATATTCCAGGACATTTGTTTGAGGTGTGAAATGAGATCACTTTAACAAGACAAATAAGAAGAATCACCTTAGTACTTTATGATTAGTAAATCTCTAAGTTTAATGAAAAACACATCTCAATGGTCTTTCTGTAAGTTACTATTACCCACGATTATCTGCCTGGCTCCTGACAGGGTTAGGATTCCACACTGCTGCTCTACTAGCCAGTAGTTTCTTTAGGCCCACAGTGACGTCTTTAATATTGGAATCAAGTGGTGAGTATAAGGGAATGCTAGCAGAATGGTGCCAGTCCAAGGAGCCTACATGAAGACAGTGTTTATGCTAGCCACCTCCTGGTGCTCTACCCTGTGTGGATATGGACAAGTTTCCAATGACTCATACCTACCATTATAGGACCATAAAACATTAATTAAATACTTAGGCATAAACCTACAAAGTATACAAAAGATCTACAGAAGGAAACTGCAAATCAATTATGAAAGCAAGCCAATAACTAAATAAACCACAGCATTAGCACATGCTTATGAATAGAAGACAGTATTTTCAGAATATGAGCTCTTCCAAAATTTATCTACAGAGTCAATGCAATCAAAATCCCAGAACATTGTTTCCTGTATATCAAAAAGCTAACTAACACCTACATGAAAAAGCAAAATCCAGAATAGCAAGCACATTCTTGAAGGAGAAAAACGAAGTTGGAGGACGGACACTATTTGGTTTCCTAATGTGGGTGTAAAGCTACAGTAATGTAGACATGTTAACACTAGTGAAAGCATAGACACATTTCCAGAACAGAAGAGATGTTCAAGAAACAAACAAATAACCAAAGACATTCAAACTGAGTAATGGAGGTATTTTCAACAAATAGTATTAGAACAAGTAGACATCGCAACACATTAAAAAGTATAAATTGAGGCAAACTTTACATCCTTTACAAAATTTAACTCAAAATAGATCACAAACCTAAATGTAAAAGGAAACGTTATAAATATCAAAAAGATAACATAGGAGAAAAATCAATAGGCCCTTGGGCTTGACTTTTAGACATGACACCAAAGACATGACACATGTCAGAGACCCGAGAAGTTACAAACAAATGTATGTTCTCAGAGTTGAAGATATAGCTTAATGGCAGAGCACTTTATCCATATGTGCAAGGTCTTCAGATTAATCTTTAGCAGCATAAAAAAACAAACATAAACAAAAAGGCTAGAAATGTATCCTGTAAAAGATAGTATCAATGGAACGGAAGGGTTAAAAAAAAT